TAAATAACTGAATTCCTTCGCACACAAATCTTAAAAAGAATGAAAAAGTCTACAAAAACAGTCAGTCTCTCATTTTCTCCCCCACAGATTTTTTAAAGAGCGAAGTAAAAGCCAAAATAAATTCTCACTTTTCAACACTGAATTAATTAAAATTAAATTGAAATTAATTATTCATAAAAAAGGTTATATAATGAAACATATGATGTGCAATGATATGTCACCGCAAATTATGTTGAAATAACCGATAAAGTTCAAACCATTAATTTGTGAATGTTGTGTGTATGTCGGCATGTGATAGGCTCAGTAGACTCTCTTTATGCACGACTATCTATGATGATGATGCTAACGAGTGTGAAATATAAACGGAAGTAACATGTGAATCTCGGTAAACCAACTCAGCCACTTGTTTTGTTTACACATCTTTTTTTTCGGATGTTCGCTTCTCCTTACCTACGATACTGACTCTTTTATGCAACACATAATTTATATGATACTTTTGTTTGACATCTGTTTGTTTTTTATGCTACATGCTGAACGTCATTGAGGACTTTTTTTAATGCTCATAGAAAGGAGCAAAAAGAAGAAGAAGGAGAAGCATGCATGAAATTACGTTTGTGTGTTGTAATGACTCATAAACAGAACATAATCATCGCCAGAAAATAAAAACAAGAAGGAGAAGAGAAGTCATTAAGAATGTTGTTTTGTTTTGATGATCTTTTCAGCACATCAGTGATAAACGACTTAATGGATAAAACAGAAACAATTTTCATTCATTCTTTCCTCTCCAGTTCAAGTCTTTTACTCATTTTCTCATCATTGAGTCAGCAGCATCATGAGATTTTAAATAGACAGACAGTAAGAACATTCTGAAGCTCTTTAAAAATTCAACTTCAGTCTTAATTTGGTTACGGTATAGTGAACAGTCAAATTTCTACTACTCTAGTTCCTTAAATCTTTCTCAATTCCTTTAAAAAAGAAGTTAAAGTTTTTCACAGCAGGAATATAAAAAGTTTTAAGGTTTAAACAATAGGAAATAGGAAGAGCGACATGTCTGAGAAGTAAATGATGGAATTAAACGCATGAAGCAGCATTCGTACCTTGTCGGAAGTGATGTGAATGCTAATTTTCACAAAAAAAAAGTTCAGAAATGGAAAAATATGAAGTTGATGGAACTGCTTAATTATCTTTGGCAATTGTCATGATATAAATAGCAACAGCAGTAGTAATAATGGAACTGACAATAATTATGATCCGTTCGGAAATGAAATTGAAATGACAACAAAGCAGAGAAATCAAGCCAATGCACGGGAACGCTTCAGGACTCACAGGTTCATTGAATCATTTTCTTCCTTAACCACAAAAAAACTCAACCAAGAACTGAAAAATTTCTCTCATCACAGTGTCAATTCCGCATTCAACACATTGAGGCTGTTGATACCAACTGAACCGAAAAATAGAAAATTGTCGAAAATTGAGACGTTGAGGTTGGCAAAGTCTTACATCTCGCATCTTAATGCTACATTGGCCACGGGTAAGTTCTGTGCACAAATGATTTATGGCTTCTTACTTTCCGTTCCTTTCTCTTCCTTCATCATTTTCATTGCTGCAATTATTTTCACATCTCTTTCACACTCTTTTCACTTCCAAAGGAAATGCTTCATGTCGACAACCATGCTTTGGAGCATCATCCTTACATAAGCAGCAGAAGCATCAGTATCAGGAACAACATGATTATCGTTCAAATATCTGTACATTCTGTGTTTCCTCCGTCATTCATCAAAAGAGGATTAATTAAGGATTATTTGTGAGTTTAGGGATGGATTTTGATTGAGGGCTATTAGGAAATGCCAGACATAAAAAAGATTTTTCAATTAAATTAAAATGATTTTCGTGTTTTTTAAGTGCAATAAATTTAAGAACAATTTTTTTATTTATTCTGTGTTAATTTTTTTGGTTTCATTTGTTTGTGAATTTTTCTGATGCAAGTCATAGCGCTGCGATGCTATATCCAGTCGATGATATGAAGTTAAAGTTTGTGCTGATGATGTCTTCTTCCGACGCAAATTTGCCAATTCTATGGCTTTACGTCTCAAATCCCACAAATTCCAAACATAAGTTTCGTCCTTATAAAATGGAACTGGATGCAATTCAGTCTGAGTTGCTTGATCCACTGAAAATGTCTCTTGATCATTTGATTTTGATGATCCTTCCATTAAAGCATCAACATCGATTGGTGAACTTTTTATTAATTTTATAGCATTATAGATATTAAAGAACAGAACCAACTGAATGCTGCTCTTCATCACTTCCAAAATCTTGTTGATGTACCTGAAAATGAAAGTAAAATTTACTTAATGAGATATGCAAGTGAACTTCTTCATGTGATGTCATGTGCTATAAAATTTTCCATTTCTTTTACTTTTACTTGAGACTTTTCCAGCATGGATGTATGTATGTGTACGAGATGTAATAAAACTATGTGCAGAACAGCATTAAATTTACTCACAATTTTGGTTTGGTAATGAAAAGTTTTGCAGCTTCGATGCTGTAAAAGCCATAAATCTTTTGATTCCATAGAACTGTTCCCATTTCAGGAACGCTCGGTAGTAAAATTTTGCTTTCAGCCAGCACATAAGCACAAAAGCCTAAATATTCAATCTAGAAATGTCAAAAATATTACTGAAGTCATAAAAATCATTTTATTGCCATTTATACCTCTGAATTGCTTTCTGGTGGCTGAACAATTGAGACATGCGGATTAGTTCCTTCAAAACTTGTTGCATCCAATTTCAAATTTCGACGCTTCTGTACTCGAGTATGATCAGTTTCAATTTGATTTTCACCTAATAATTTATGGACTATTTCATCATATTGTTGTTGTCTACATAGCTCAGATAGATGCTGTAGATAATTATTAATTTGACTCTGTTGTGAGAGGACATATGACAGGTTATGAAGTGCCACCCATTCTTCAGTCAGTTCCTTAAATTTTGGAAAGATTTGAACACTCGGAACTGCTGATCGAAATTGAACAGTTTCATGAAGTTTTAAGAGCTTCTCAGCATAATTTCGGACATGAGCTTCAATCAGTGCCTTCATAAATTTCAAATTGCCCAACAACTTCCTCACATAAATCTCATGTTGTCGATTCAATATCAATAAATCAATCATTATATTAATTTCTGATGTTTCCAATAAAGTTGCATTCAGCACAAACGATTTTCCAATTGCTAATGCACCATCAAATGCTGTTGTTAACTGTCAAATGGAATCAGCATCAGCTGAATGAAAATAGACAACGATATCATCATGAGAAAAAGAACTTACAATATTTACTCGATCCATAATGTCGCAGAGTGTAAATTGCAGCAATGACTCAATGGAATCGAAAGATTTCAGCAAAGTTTTTGTCACTAAAGAGAAGCAAAAGAGAAGTTTGAGATACTTAAGGTAATTTGGTATGAGAAACTTACAATCGGGAATGTTTTCATCCATCGTGTTGCCAACTCCTGTATCTTTATTAAATAAGACGATTCCACAAACAATCATTCGAATTTCTTTCAGCGATTCCATTCGATTATGAGCCTCCAACTCTACAAAATTCTCTAAATCACTTTCAGTCATGATGGAATTTAAAGCTTTTGTTATTTCAGTCACAACCTGCAACAACAGCAACAACAACAATAAAAAAAGATGTGAATGACTTTCTTATTTATTTGAGGACATAAAATATGAAAATAAATAGTAAGTAGAAGAAATACAAACTTCGGGGTTGGAAGGACTTCCGAGAGCAGTCTGTAAAATAATGTCAACAATAATCTTCTTCTGCATGACAATTAGCTCCTCTTTGCTTTTTGCCATTCCCTCAATTATTTCCTTTACCAAACTACTTGTCTTCTTACTTAAATTCTCATGATATTCCGTGATGATTTCGTCGTATGGCTTTGCATTCTCAATGAAGAAGACTTGCATCTTAAGTGTGATATTTGATGGTGTTTCATTTAAATCTATTCAAAAATAATTCAGAGTGTCTTAATTTATTGAGAAACTTATGAAATGAGCTTAAAATAAACCTATAATATGCATCAAGCAAATCCTAATGATTTCCTCGATACAATTTCGATCAATTCTTCCATTCAAGTCAATTTCTTCTTGTCGATAGATCTGCAATGTCACTAAATGAACTAAAAACGTGACAAACTTCTTTTCAACCACAAAATCTTTTATGTCACATTCACGAAGTATCTCATAGACGATATTCTTTACGATGGCACTTTGTGGTGTGAGCAGAAATTTATTTTCAACTTCTGATGTCCACATCCTTCTTCTTTTCCTTCTTTTCTCTTAAAACTCTTAGTTCCTTTAGTCACACAATTGAAAAATATCAAAAAGAGATGAAGACGACGACGAAAAAATCTGATAAAGAATGAAAAACTTTTTCGTTTGAATTTTTTAAAAGAATTGAGGAACTGACGAACGATTGGTAAATAAACAAAAGCACAACAAAATAGCAACGATGACTTTGGTTGCTAAGGTTGAACTTTTAAGGAATTTATAAGTCACAGAATATTTTATTAAATTTCAGCATATGTCAGCTGAGCATTAATCAACGCATAATTTATAGACACAAATACACAAAACAATTCAGTTGTCATCTTTCCGTTAAACCTTCATATTCCAAAAAACATTTTGTTGATTATGCAAGTGATTCCGGTACGAAATATTTAACCCATGTTTTCCTTGTCCAATCTATTCTTTCCTCATACTTTTCATGCACACAGCACATAAGTGAACAAAAGACATAAGTTGTGTGAATAAAAAGGCATGCGAGTCAAGCAATTCTTGTGAAAATTTATCATATTTATTCTAATAAGATAAGGAAAACTGAATTTTGTATTCACTGGGACCAATCCAACCTTTCTCAAAGCGAAAATAGAAATAAAACAGAAAACACGAAGAAATTGAATCAAAAAAGTTTTTTTATTTGACGATAACTTTTGCCCCATCCACAATATTTCAGTTCCTTTATCATTTCTCACACTTTTTATTGAGATTTATTTACAGAAAATATGTATTAAGTTGATAACATTAAATGCCATAATATTTTTGCAAATATTTTAATCAAAAACATCCAGCTGTATTTGAGGAAATTCGAGAGTCATTGAACTGTTTAAAATGACATTTTCTTTTATTTTCTGTTTTTCTCAGTCGATTCACAAAAGAATTCACTTAAAGTGCCTTCCTTGCAATTTTTCAGAGCATCAACAAAAGCATCCAATTTATTTCTGACATTTATTCCTCGAAACTTGTTCTTATCGACATAAAAATCTATCAAAATGCCAATTAAGCGATTGAGATTGGATGAATCATTTTTAAACTTTTCCTCAACATTTTGCTTATTTTGCAGCAGATTTTTATATTTATCCGATAACATTTCAAACTCGTCATCATTTTGGACATTAAGCTCCAATAATCCTTGAAGAATTTTATGGTTTCTTTCCATTTCATTGTATTGTCGTAATTTTGGTTCCACTAATGTGATAAAATGCTCAATTGAAGCATCACTTACATCTGTAAGAAGAGGAATAAGGACAATTGATACTCAGAACCAGATTAACGGTTATTTTTTAAAACTTTCAAAATTTAAAATAATCAATTCAAATTCCAGAAACCCGTTAAAATTTAAAATTCTTTACTTACTCATTTGCAGTTCAATTTTGATGTGGCGAGTCGTTGCTTCCTTAGTAAGGTAATCCTTAATCACAGAAATAGTTGAGATGTTGTCACTCTTGAACTCAGCCACACCTTTTGCATATCTACATATGAGATATGTTTCAACAAATAAATTTTTGAATATCAAAACATTCTCTTCTGTTGAGTCAACACGTTCCGGAACTTCTGGCAGGCAATTACTTATCCAACTATGCATTTCTCCCTGACTAAAGTTTCCTTTTAATATTAATATATTCATTGGTCTAGAATGAAAAAGAGGATGATAAAGTCAAAAAGTTGTCGCATACTAATTTGATGGCTAGAGCTAGTTCTAGTCCAAAAAAAAGGAAAAGTTGTCAGAAAATTTAAGCATCATTGTGAATGTTAATTAACCTTGTCGTATCGTATTTATGGACCATTATGTGTAACGATAATGGATGAATGGCATAAGTTCGAAGTTGACAACATTTTGGCTGAATATTGGGCGTGATGTAGACACGCAATGTGCCATGTTGACCCTCGACCGTTCTAAATTTTAGATCGACACGATTAGTATTGACTTGACATCGATAACAGCATAAAAGCAGATTTCCATCGTTCCTGTCACATTCGCTTCTACTCACGACTGCAGTATTGCTATCGACATCGAGCATCTCTAATGGAATATCCGATTGGACCAAAATATTTTCTATTGGACTTGGTAATTCGATTGAAAGGATGTATGTGGCATCATCGGCAGACAATGAAATCTGAATGAAAAATAAAAGCTTTATTATGTTACTTGATTTTGATAGCTGAGAAATTACTGTGTCATTGACTGTCATAACTGGAATTGCTGACAATCCAGAGCTTAATGCTTGAGTTGATAGTTGATACTTTTCTCTTTCTTTCGTCACTGCTTGCTCTAAATATTCTATTTCAGCTCTAAAATTTAATTTTAAGGGAACGAAAAATTTAATAAGTTCCAATTGTCAGCATAGACATTATTACTTCAATTTTTGAATCCTTTGCGTCGCATCCGTAACAATATCATTACTCTTTGAGTCATTCAATGTGTCACCAATAGTTCGTGTGGTAAGACCAAAAACTTTACCAGTGTATGTACATGCAATGACTTCTGTATATCCAGCAGCACCAACACATGCACCATAGACACACGAAATGCTCTCATTGAAATTCTCTTCATATAATAATTGCTGACAATCCATTCCATCGAACTCATTATTTTCGAGTGCCATTGAATACACTTGAATTGTTCCATCTCGTCTTCCGATAATCAATTCCTCCTTACCATCACCATATAGATCAAATGTATCCAAGCATGTTACTGCCGATAAATTCTCCTTTGTCTCGATTAATATTTCTTGTTTAACTGGAAGTAGTAAATTTTTGCAGAATTTTCAATAAATGCACATAAAATGTCAATAATGCATATGTAAGCACAACTCATACCTTCCATTATCATTGGATTTATTCGAAACAAAGCTACTCGACCGTCTGAGAATCCAACGAGAATTTTATTGCCTAAAGAATTTTTAGGCACATGTAAAACTGTTGGAATGCTATCCAATTCAATCATCTTTCGGACACGACAATGTTCGAGTAACCTCAAAACTCGTCCAGAACATGCAAGTACTGTGATGACACGACTTGTCTTTAATTTTTATATTGGGAAGATGGAATGGAATGAGTGGATTAATATTCAATTTTTGGGAGGTAAATTCCGTGCGATAATTTTTGTCAGAATTCCTAAGGCTTGAGACTATGACAATATGCTTTATTCATTCAAAGCCACCGATCAAGTTCGACCATTAAGTTCGATACTACTCATAACAAACCTAAGTCTAAAAAGCAGCACATAGAAATTCGAACAAAAAAATCTTCGCAAGGATTCAATAATTACATTATGTGGACATAAAGCATTGCAATCAACAATTGTATCACCACACAGATAGGAACCAGACTCTTTACATTCCTTATAATGTGTATAGACATGATTTCCACATACTATCAAATCATTTCCGACAACAAAGAGCGATTTGATGGGTTCCGTTAGATTTGTATCGAATGATAGAAACACTTTCCCCTTCCTGTTATATCCGATAATTTGATTTTCATTTGCAATAAAAATTTTATCAGGAACTGATCCTATTGAACCTCCCAATTGAACAGATGTGATCCGATTACTTGGAACTGTTTTAAAATGAACAATAATTTCATCTTTTTTGTTTGCTGAAAATAATTGGACGACTCCATCCTGATCACCAATCACGACTTTTTGCTGCTCTTTTGCTTTTTTTGTTGGCAGAATTTTCATTGCATTTTGAAGTGTAATTCCAACTAAAGCGTAATCAACTCTTGATAATTCCAATTCCATGTTTTTAATTAGTTTTATTTCTGATTCAATTTAAGTTCACGGATATCTTGTTGTTGGTCTATCAAATAAACTTCTGTGACTACCACGTGTCACCATAGCGACCAAATTTCAAAAGGTATTTTTCAGTTACATAAAAATTAATCAACATCTGTGGATCTATAGAAGTGATATTTTCTGTAAATAAATCTCAATAAAAAGTGTGAGAAATGATAAAGGAACTGAAATATTGTGGATGGGGCAAAAGTTATCGTCAAATAAAAAAACTTTTTTTGATTCAATTTCTTCGTGTTTTCTGTTTTATTTCTATTTTTGCTTTGAGAAAGGTTGGATTGGTCCCAGTGAATACAAAATTCAGTTTTCCTTATCTTATTAGAATAAATATGATAAATTTTCACAAGAATTGCTTGACTCGCATGCCTTTTTATTCACACAACTTATGTCTTTTGTTCACTTATGTGCTGTGTGCATGAAAAGTATGAGGAAAGAATAGATTGGACAAGGAAAACATGGGTTAAATATTTCGTACCGGAATCACTTGCATAATCAACAATAAAGATGACAACTGAATTGTTTTGTGTATTTGTGACTATAAATTATGCGTTGATTAATGCTCAGCTGACATATGCTGAAATTTAATAAAATATTCTGTGACTTATAAATTCCTTCAAAGTTCAACCTTAGCAACCAAAGTCATCGTTGCTATTTTGTTGTGCTTTTGTTTATTTACCAATCGTTCGTCAGTTCCTCAATTCTTTTAAAAAATTCAAACGAAAAAGTTTTTCATTCTTTATCAGATTTTTTGTCGTCGTCTTCATCTCTTTTTGATATTTTTCAATTGTGTGACTAAAGGAACGAGTTGTAAGAGAAAATAAGGAAAAGAAGAAGGATGTGGACATCAGAAGTTGAAAATAAATTTCTGCTCACACCACAAAGTGCCATCGTAAAGAATATCGTCTATGAGATACTTCGTGAATGTGACATAAAAGATTTTGTGGTTGAAAAGAAGTTTGTCACGTTTTTAGTTCATTTAGTGACATTGCAGATCTATCGACAAGAAGAAATTGACTTGAATGGAAGAATTGATCGAAATTGTATTGAGGAAATCATTAGGATTTGCTTGATGCATATTATAGGTTTATTTTAAGCTCATTTCATAAGTTTCTCAATAAATTAAGACACTCTGAATTATTTTTGAATAGATTTAAATGAAACACCATCAAATATCACACTTAAGATGCAAGTCTTCTTCATTGAGAATGCAAAGCCATACGACGAAATCATCACGGAATATCATGAGAATTTAAGTAAAAAGACGAGTAGTTTGGTAAAGGAAATAATTGAGGGAATGGCAAAAAGCAAAGAGGAGCTAATTGTCATGCAGAAGAAGATTATTGTTGACATTATTTTACAGACTGCTCTCGGAAGTCCTTCCAACCCCGAAGTTTGTATTTCTTCTACTTACTATTTATTTTCATATTTTATGTCCTCAAATAAATAAGAAAGTCATTCACATCTTTTTTTATTGTTGTTGTTGCTGTTGTTGCAGGTTGTGACTGAAATAACAAAAGCTTTAAATTCCATCATGACTGAAAGTGATTTAGAGAATTTTGTAGAGTTGGAGGCTCATAATCGAATGGAATCGCTGAAAGAAATTCGAATGATTGTTTGTGGAATCGTCTTATTTAATAAAGATACAGGAGTTGGCAACACGATGGATGAAAACATTCCCGATTGTAAGTTTCTCATACCAAATTACCTTAAGTATCTCAAACTTCTCTTTTGCTTCTCTTTAGTGACAAAAACTTTGCTGAAATCTTTCGATTCAATTGAGTCATTGCTGCAATTTACACTCTGCGACATTATGGATCGAGTAAATATTGTAAGTTCTTTTTCTCATGATGATATCGTTGTCTATTTTCATTCAACTGATGCTGATTCCATTTGACAGTTAACAACAGCATTTGATGGTGCATTAGCAATTGGAAAATCGTTTGTGCTGAATGCAACTTTATTGGAAACATCAGAAATTAATATAATGATTGATTTATTGATATTGAATCGACAACATGAGATTTATGTGAGGAAGTTGTTGGGCAATTTGAAATTTATGAAGGCACTGATTGAAGCTCATGTCCGAAATTATGCTGAGAAGCTCTTAAAACTTCATGAAACTGTTCAATTTCGATCAGCAGTTCCGAGTGTTCAAATCTTTCCAAAATTTAAGGAACTGACTGAAGAATGGGTGGCACTTCATAACCTGTCATATGTCCTCTCACAACAGAGTCAAATTAATAATTATCTACAGCATCTATCTGAGCTATGTAGACAACAACAATATGATGAAATAGTCCATAAATTATTAGGTGAAAGTCAAATCGAAACTGATCATACTCGAGTACAGAAGCGTCGAAATTTGAAATTGGATGCAACAAGTTTTGAAGGAACTAATCCGCATGTCTCAATTGTTCAGCCACCCGAAAGCAATTCAGAGGTATAAATGGCAATAAAATGATTTTTATGACTTCAATAATATTTTCGACATTTCTAGATTGAATATTTGGGCTTTTGTGCTTATGTGCTGGCTGAAAGCAAAATTTTACTACCAAGCGTTCCTGAAATGGGAACAGTTCTATGGAATCAAAAGATTTATGGCTTTTACAGCATCGAAGCTGCTAAACTTTTCATTACCAAACCAAAATTGTGAGTAAATTTAATGCTGTTCTGCACATAGTTTTATTACATCTCGTACACATACATACATCCATGCTGGAAAAGTCTCAAGTAAAAGTAAAAGAAATGGAAAATTTTATAGCACATGACATCACATGAAGAAGTTCACTTGCATATCTCATTAAGTAAATTTTACTTTCATTTTCAGGTACATCAACAAGATTTTGGAAGTGATGAAGAGCAGCATTCAGTTGGTTCTGTTCTTTAATATCTATAATGCTATAAAATTAATAAAAAGTTCACCAATCGATGTTGATGCTTTAATGGAAGGATCATCAAAATCAAATGATCAAGAGACATTTTCAGTGGATCAAGCAACTCAGACTGAATTGCATCCAGTTCCATTTTATAAGGACGAAACTTATGTTTGGAATTTGTGGGATTTGAGACGTAAAGCCATAGAATTGGCAAATTTGCGTCGGAAGAAGACATCATCAGCACAAACTTTAACTTCATATCATCGACTGGATATAGCATCGCAGCGCTATGACTTGCATCAGAAAAATTCACAAACAAATGAAACCAAAAAAATTAACACAGAATAAATAAAAAAATTGTTCTTAAATTTATTGCACTTAAAAAACACGAAAATCATTTTAATTTAATTGAAAAATCTTTTTTATGGCACTTGAGGAAGTTTTTTTTATGGCTGGCATATCCTAATAGCCCTCAATCAAAATCCATCCCTAAACTCACAAATAATCCTTAATTAATCCTCTTTTGATGAATGACGGAGGAAACACAGAATGTACAGATATTTGAACGATAATCATGTTGTTCCTGATGCTGATGCTTCTGCTGCTTATGTAAAGATGATGCTCCAAAGCATGGTTGTCGACATGAAGTATTTCCTTTAGAAGTGAAAAGAGTGTTAAAGAGATGTGAAAATAATTGCAGCAATGAAAATGATGAAGGAAGAGAAAGGAACGGAAAGTAAGAAGCCATAAATCATTTGCGCACAGAACTTACCCGTGGCCAATGTAGCATTAAGATGCGAGATGTAAGACTTTGCCAACCTCAACGTCTCAATTTTCGACAATTTTCTATTTTTCGGTTCAGTTGGTATCAACAGCCTCAATGTGTTGAATGCGGAATTGACACTGTGATGAGAGAAATTTTTCAGTTCTTGATTGAGTTTTTTTGTGGTTAAGGAAGAAAATGATTCAATGAACCTGTGAGTCCTGAAGCGTTCCCGTGCATTAGCTTGATTTCTCTGCTTTGTTGTCATTTCCATTTCATTTCCGAACGGATCATAATTATTGTCAGTTCCATTATTACTACTGCTGTTGCTATTTATATCATGACAATTGCCAAAGATAATTAAGCAGTTCCCATCAACTTCATATTTTTCCATTTCTGAACTTTTTTTGTAAAAATTAACATTCACATCACTTCCGACAATGTACGAATGCTGCTTCATGCGTTTAATTCCATCATTTACTTCTCAGACATGTCGCTCTTCCTATTTCCTATTGTTTAAACCTTAAATCTCTTTATATTCCTGCTGTGACAACTTTAACTTCTTTTTTAAAGGAATTGAGAAAGATTTAAGGAACTAGAGTAGTAGAAATTTGACTGTTCACTATACCGTAACCAAATTAAGACTGAAGTTGAATTTTTAAAGAGCTTCAGAATGTTCTTACTGTCTGTCTATTTAAAATCTCATGATGCTGCTGACTCAATGATGAGAAAATGAGTAAAAGACTTGAACTGGAGAGGAAAGAATGAATGAAAATTGTTTCTGTTTTATACATTAAGTCGTTTATCACTGATGTGCTGAAAAGATCATCAAAACAAAACAACATTCTTAATGACTTCTCTTCTCCTTCTTGTTTTTATTTTCTGGCGATGATTATGTTCTGTTTATGAGTCATTACAACACACAAACGTAATTTCATGCATGCTTCTCCTCCTTCTTCTTTTTGCTCCTTTCTATGAGCATTAAAAAAAGTCCTCAACAACATTCTGTAAAGATCATAAAAAATAAACAAACACAAAAAATGTCATTCAGAGGTTACTAATAAATCAAGTATATGCTTGAGTTGCATTTGCGTAGGTAAGGAGTCTTTAAATAACGTCTGAGTTTATTTCACATCCGTTGACATTTCATAAATTTTACATAAGTTTTGACATCCTAATGGAAATAAATTACTATCACGTGTCAATGTTATAAGAGTTCATTAAATTTTGTAGTGTTATGCAAAATTGAGGATTTATTGTGGTGCAGGATGCAGTGCTGTTAAATTGTTTATTTTTATGGTGCTTTATAAAATGATAATATGAAGTTAATTTGTGACAGCAATAGATTATTGCCAAAATATGGACGGGATCAGTGCTACTCAAACTATGTTCACAGCACGACACGGTTGTGATAAGAAATACGCAGGCATGTGATAAAGCTGTGTAGAAACATGATAAAATTAATTCATCGGTTTCAGGTCATTATAGCTTAGCACTTATTTCTAGATTCATTGATTGTAGACAGCATGAATATTAATTAATCTAGACTCCGGATGTAAGAAAATGATGCACAAAAAGCTAATCATAACCTATTAATCTACCGCAACAAAAAGTTTAATCACCACTGACATGAGACAAAGACATTAATATTCCAATTTACAGTAATTTTGCTTTCACAAGCAGAAATGAAATTTCTACATAAATTGAGCATAAAATTCAATTAATTTTCCTTTAAACGCGCGGCATTGATAAGACTTCAAACAAGACAGCATAAAATAATAATTCTGATATTCTTTTTTTTTTCGAAATTGATTTATTAACAATACAAGATTGCACTTTATATTCATGGTAGGGAAAATTGTTCCTCAATATTTCTCATTCATAAGCACTCTTGATATTGCATAAATTCCCATAAAAGCCATTAGCATATTTTCGAGTTCATCTGCAGAGATTTTTTCCTTCTTCTTACAACAATGTCATCATGCAAATTTATTTATTATGATGTTGTGCGCAATTACTGTTCCTTCACAATGAATATATACACGAAAAAAAAAAAGAGATGAGATGAGAAGAATTGTATAATAATGTAAGAAGACGAGGATGATAAAGTGAAGTCTCATAGAATATCTTTTTATGGGGTAATGATGTCTTTTAGAAAAAAAAAACTAAATTGCCACACAAATAAAAAACATTTAATATGAATTAAGTGCCAGAGATTGCGACTCTGTTATGCTTATGTATATTTTTTTTTGTCGTGGATATTCATTCATCTACTGATACTACTCGCCGGAACAAGTGAGTGATCTGAGATTGGAGTAAAATTATCAGATTAAAGTAAGCATGAATGAAGAGCTGGTTTTGGCGCATTTTTTTGGAAGTTTAATGAAGTATAATGCTTTATCTTAGGCATACTTTTGCATATCCAAAATACATTCAAGATTCAGGACGGACTAGATTTTCATAAATAATTTATCGGTCTATACAATTTTATCGTTATTGTAGACTACTCCTTATTTAATAATATGAATTAAGTCGTTCACGTTTGACTTCCCCTCCAGGAATTTCTATTGTTCTTTTCTTGCTAACCCCCGTCCCCACACCTGAGCGTCATAAGTGAACAGTCCCTTAGGTATTTAACGAATTCTTTATGACTTAACAACTTTTAAGGATATACATATAAGAGCGGCTGCTTTGATGATAGATCTCGCAGTATCATATTTTTCGTAGTCTGAATGGCACAAGTCGGTTAATCAATCAGAAATCCGACACTAAACTGGTGTGACTCTGGCATGGTGCTGGATTCAAATCGAAGCTAGCACCATTCTAGAGTCATGCCGGTTGGGCACCGGATTTTTAATCGATTAATCGACTTTTGCTTTTCATGTAGGTCCACAACGAAGTATATCTTAAAGTTAGCCTAGTAGAATTTTTTGTGAGATTTGGTTTTGAAAAAATGTTTGACTTTAATCTATGAATGTTCTGTCATGAAGGGAAGATAAGAAAGCTTAAAGATCCAGCAAAAATCATCAAAAACTGAAATTCTTCAAACTTATGTTTGAGTATGTCATCATTGAGGTTTTGCCTCCATCCTCGTTCCTACAGGCTACCACGTACCGAAAACTCCATACGCTACAAATGAAGCTCCTATTTATATCATAGGTTATATCCCTGAATTTAATTTTAAAATCATTCTTTAATAAATTCATCCGATAACAGCTCACAAAGCTCATTATCCAATATAAAATTGCATAAGCTCCTTATCAATATCCTTCACCTCTTAGAGAAACAATATTTTATCCAGCCTGACAAACATCTATCCAGAAATACCTCTTGAATTCTCCAGAAAATAATTGCACTAAAGAGATGATTGTAATAAGGAAGAAAAAGATAATGCTTAATACTTTAGCATTCAGTAGTGCGATGCAAAAAAAAAAATGAGAAGTTTCTTTAAAAATGATATGAAAAACAAGATTGTTGTTAAGCTGTAAACTTTATCGTCTTCACATCCCCTTTTTCTTATGCCTCAATTCCTCCATTTTCTTCGTTTTTTTTGCTCATCCACAATTTTTTGTTTGTTTGTAGCTGAGAGTCTTTAAATCTCCTTTTAATGTCTTCATAGTGATGGTGGTGAGAAGGGTTGATGCCTTTGTCCTTTCAACACTAAAGATATTTTTATCTAAATTTTTTTTAGGTCATGCAGTCCGCTTAATAATTTACCTTTATCATATTGTCTAGACTCTACCTTTAATTCTAAGGTAACTTTTGATGGCTTTAAGATGTAAATATCCTTAAAGACCAGCTTAAAAATTTAAGGTAGGAGATGTAAAGATCAATCATTAAGTTATGGTCTGCCTCAAAACCACAAAACAAACACAGAACTCAAAAGCAGTTCTTTAAGTTAAAGTTCATGGCAAATAAACACTTTTATTGACTCATATATCCTCCCTATTTCCTCATATCAATCAAATCAAGTTCACGATCCAGAATCACTCCAAGCAGGAAAATATCATGCAATTCATCATCGATATAAATCGAATTTGTCCTTTATCATAAACTATTCAGCATATATTCACTTTCCTTTGTTGTGGTTCAATCTCCTCTCTTTCCTTTTTTTCCATATATGCAATGTAAAATCCTCTTATGGAAAGGTCTTTCACTTTCACATCCATTCCTTGATGTCACACTTTTACATACTTCCACATACGATGATATTCATCGGGATCAAAAGTCAAACGTGTCATCAATCAACATGTTGTTGGTTTGATGAGAAAAAAAAATTGACAAATTAAGAGTTTCTCGAATGAATGGAGCTGTAACAAAAGGAAAGAGTGTGAGAGAGAGAGTGAAAAAGTTGTAAACTGAAGTCACGTTTTTCGTCTCTTTCCTTTTCTGAATGAACGAGCATGAATGACTCTGTTCATTACACTTAATTGATGGAATGTTTTTATGGTATTTTGAATACATACACTTTATTTAATCTAATCGTGTTTGTGATAAAAATCGATTTTTTGACATTCCATTGATGTTCTTTAGCATGTCGAAAATCTACACAATTGATTTCTGCTTTGGGTCGAAGTGATGCTGTATTTTTGTTCACTTTGACTTTATTTTGCTTACTGGATGTCTAATATGATATAAGTCAAGGATCTTTCCAATGATTAGCTTAGTTCGTAACCTAGAATAATAATAATAATGTGTGTGAAGGGCCCAGCCTTTCAGCTGGAGGCACTGCGATTCAAATTAGAACAGAATCTATTGTACCACACCCTTTAGACCTACAGTTTATAGTGGGATCTCAACCACTTGCAAGCTCTGCACATTGCAAAGACACGAGTACGTCATAAGACCTGATGTACCCTGCAATGTATTTAGTCACAATTCGTGTGCACAAGATGCCGTAAGGAAGTCATCCAGATGCTAGTATATCCTTGTATACCTAGCAAAGGAAGCAGATTCTGTGCCAAAGCACCGAGCTTCGTAACTAGAACGGTGAAATGGAAAAAGAAGCTTCGAAAATTAGACATGGCATGGGATTGAACCCAGGACCCTAGAACAAGATTAAATTTTTGAGAATCGAACGCACGTTTTCATAAAAGAAGGTTACAGTTATCCGGTCTGTGGCTTAACCATTCGACTAAAGCTGGTAAAATATGATTTCATACCTCAGATTCGACTCTGCTTAAACATCATGGTATCCATAAACTGAATAAATATAGCATTTTTGATTTCATAGATTCACAACATCCAAAAAAATGGTTTTCTTCTTGACTCAAAATTTCAATCAGTTTCTGTGTTAAGACATTTAATAGTCAAATTTTGTATAGCCCGACTTACAATATTTTCATATCCGTCAAGAAGTTTAGGTTGTTTCTGGCATGAAAATCAACTTTAGACTAGTTATGAACAAAACTGCGCTTTAGAACCTCCAAAAATTCATTCATTTGAACTCAATTTCCCATTCAATTGAACCATTGAGCATACGATTTCATCGTTATCTAATGGACAGGTCACATCATATTTTCTCATGTGCTTTTACATTTGCATACATGCTTGTTGAATTTTTTCTATCCATCTCTCTCTATCTACTCCATTCAATGGTAGCGTACGGATAGAAATTTTGAGATAAATGCTTTGGATATTGATATGAAAAAAATGGAAAGGAATGTAAAACACATTTATAATGTCCATTAAATATTTATGGTCAAAATCATTTGTGTTATTCATACGACCCTGAAATCCAACCTCTTTTTTCTGGTACTTTTGTGGATGTGTGTGCTCTCATTATTATTATTATTTTGTGTTACTGCCCATGAGTTATTGAACTTTGCTGTATGGATTTTTCGGGTTTGTTTGGTGCTTAGACAGTCATTGATTTATAAAAATACAAGATACAAATTAGGCTGATTTAGAAAGTAAGATTTGGGAGTGAATTCTATCATGTGCGTCAATAATGAGTGACTCCATCAAATATACAAATAAATAGCTAACGCTAATGACAGCTGGTTCTCGATTTGAATTAAGGTAACATTTCTGGAACCACGAGCAGCTGTAGAAATGGATGTGGCAACAGGAAAATTGTTTTTTCTCTTTGAAAAACCTAAAGTTTTTAAGAAGCTCAAATTTGTAGCTACCTTAGTCGATCGTGTACCATTTTGATGATTAGCAAGGACAAGTTATGCTTTTTAAAAGAGCTCCCTTACAGAATTTTAAGCAGCTTTGGTGAATTAAGAGAAAATCTATTTAACTTGTTGTAATTTAATTAAATTTGGTTATTTGCTTTTTAAATAGACTAAAAGTTATTCCAAATTCCACAAAATAATATCACTTGCCAATTGCTTTATTCTGTTGATTCGTCTATCCGAGTGAAATTAAATAAACTTTATATTCCAATTTTATGTTTCAATATTTAATTCCAAACAAAAACCAAAAAAATTTGCATGCACGATTTCATGTATTTTTCACCACCCTCATTATACTCAGTTTTCTGGTTATTTTTTGTGGAACAGATTTATCAGCTTTTCTTTCCTTAAATACATCACGCATATGTTTTCATGCAGTATATTTTAATTAAAAATTCAAATGTTTCAACTAGAATGAGATGAAGTACAGCAAAGTGGGTGGCTGGATGTGAGGAGGTTTTGAAAGTGTCAAAACAATATGATTAATTAAAAATTTATTATCAGAATTATGTGCTGACTTTCATGTGTAAGATTTATGGATGATGATGATAATATGGAAATTTGGAAATGTGTGAATGAATTAACACTTATTAGATTGCTTGCAAATTCTTGGTATTTTGAACTTTTCTTCGAATGCTTGATTAATGTCTGAAATACTTATTTGAGTAGAAACTGACCACGATTTTCATATCCTCTTTTTTTGATCAGATAGATTCAGGCGCATTAAATTTGGAGGTTAAATCTCATTCGTGAATAGAAATTTCTTCATTTTGCTGGGATTTTTCTTCAAATTCTTGGCTACGTCCCTGGACATATTTATTGATTTGCTTATTAGAGCTTATTTGGATTAATATATCAATGATGCTCATCAAAAATCTGAATTAACAGGACCTACCTACCAGCCTCCCCTTTTTATTGCATCATTTTCACAATCACAATTTTTCAATTAAGACAGCCTTAAATATTGAAAATTTAATGTTTCCCGATTTGCTAATGTCTCCTAATAAAGAATTAAGACTCTCTGAATGATATCAATTCATAGCGACCAAAAGAAAAACAACTATACTTATTACAAATTATTTATCGGTAATATAAGATTATTAAATCTCTGTGATTAACTTGGAAACGTTCAAAAATCAATTCATATCTTTAAAATCGGGAGAACAAAGAGTTTGCCTATATTCCAGGAAATAAAATATGAAATATAATGCTCCTATAGCTCAGGGGCAGAGCGCTAGTCTTGTAAACTAGCGGTCGAGAGTTCAAATCTCTCTGGGAGCAATTTCAAGTGATATTTTTTTGATCTTTTTTATTAAAATTTTAAAAATCTTTGTAGCTTGGATTTAGAACAATCAATGTGATATTAGCTATTATTATTATTAGTTTGATAATTATAAAGCTTAATTTGATAAAATATGTCTTTGGGGCCGTTCACTTATGACGTCCAGGGGGGGAGGGTGGGAGGGGGGTCAGCAAGAAAAGAACAATAAAAATTCCAGAAAATCCATTGTTCTTTTTTGAAAAATGACCGTTAATTTCGGACGGCATAAGTGAACGGCCCCTTTCAGTAATTTAGAGCTGTGCATTAAGATCATAGTGTCTCCATAACCCAACATACAGCCCCCTAGCATCAACATTTCAATTAAAATATCACAATTTCATTTAACAAGACAAAATTATTGAAAGCAATTGAAATAATCAGCACAGATTTCAATTAAGCAAAAAAGCCACAGTGAAAATGGCACCACTTAACCTTTTCCATCCATTAACATTTTGATTTTTTTCCCATAGAATAAAAAGAAGACTAGAAAGAAAGTTTTCTTTCCGCATTATACAATTTAAGTGTTATGCATTTGCTAAAAGCCCTTAATAGCTGATTCTTTCTTCAATTTCAGATTTTTATTTCATCTCGTTTTTGTTGAAAAAAAAAATTAATTAAAACAGAGAAGAAGTTTCACAGCACAGCACAAGGCATTGTGTGGATTTGTTAAGGAACGATAAATGAGAGGAATAGAAGAAAATTGAAATTATTTGGAAATTTTCTACACGTTCGGCAAATAGCAAAAGAAGTCTGGCGAGAAGGAAAAAAAAAGTTTTCAATTGTCTTTTTTTTTTTTTTTAAAATTTGGTTTATGGTTTTCGAATGAAATTAAACTTTTTTTTCTGTGGGAGTGAAAAGTTTTCAATTTTCAATTTAAAATTGGGTTTTAATTTCTTGCTGCAATGATTTTGTATCATTCTGCAAACATATTATAATCGTGGTTCCATTCGGCAAAACAAGGTTGCAAAAATTGGAAAATATAACGTAATTCAAAATTTTGAAATTATAAAAACTTTTTCAAATTTTTATTAACCGTTATGTTTTGAATTGTTTAAAATATCTTATTTTTATTCAAATCTTTAAAACTTGCTTTATTCTTCCATTTACCCTTAAAGAAATGAAAATCTAAATAATTTAAGACACAATAAAGTTGGTTGAAAGAAAATCGAACTATGATGATCTGAGGACATCATACAAAAATCATCACTTGATTGATTGTGCCTTTGAGTATTAGAGAAATACTCCCTTTTAACTTCCCAGACATAAAGGAAAAAGAAAGTTAATGTGACATTCATCTTTATTAATATATTAAAGTCATTAACAGGACAAAAGATTCAGGCATAACACAATAAGGAAGTGCCAGATAGTGTTGTCATCGCTTGATGTCTACTAATAAATCAAACTTATTCCAACATAGCAAAAATTTCACCTTCATAATTAGGTGTAATTAATATTAATGCAGTCTTATTCGATGTCAGAAAAAAAACGTTAAATCATAAGATTAACTGTTCAAAAAAATTCAAAATTTCCATTTGTAGCCAATTTCATGATTGTTTTTCAAATTTCAATAGTTCGTTGAAATAAAGACGCTACCAAATCATTTTCAAAAGCATTCATTTTATAAAATAAACATTAATGATAAATCATACTCTTGAGTTAAAGCACAACTTATTTAAATTGCTCAAAATGTCTTTTTTCGTTTTGCAGGTCAACGTATCATTCAAATTTAAACGGTGCAAATTTTAATCACACGCACACAACCATAAAAATTGCGTAAAAGTAAACAAAACAAAAATGTTAAGAAATTTCTTAAATATAGCACGAACTAAGATAATAGCAGACAATTTTTATGGTATAAAGTCATTCAGAAGTTATTCTACGGCCAACGAAGTCATCGGACTCAAGTGTCAGTAAATAATAAGCGATATAAAGTTAAAATTGTTAAAATTAAAAACCGGTTATTCATTATTTAATTAAATCATCGTCTGAATCATTTACAGACAATCCAAATGTCGTTAATTCACTTATGGAATTTGAAGGAAACTGGCCAGAAGATGTAAAAGAGAAGTTTATTCAGGATATGGGAGTTGTGGAAAATTTCATCAGTGAACAAGAAGAACAAGAAATCTTAACTGAAATTGAGCCGTACCTAAAGCGTTTAAAGTATGAAAGAGATCACTGGGATGATGCTATAAACGTATTCAGGGAAACTGAAAGAAAATCATGGTTTCCACAAAATAGAACTATAATTAACAGACTCATTCAAACTGCATTTAAAAAAGGTACAAGCACTTTACCTCACATCCATGTTTTGGACCTAGCTGCTGACGGAGTAATTAAGGCACACGTTGATTCTGTACGATTTTGTGGAACGACAATTAGTGGGATATCATTACTAACTGATGCTATAATGAAATTAGTTCAAAGTCCTACAGATCCTTTTGAGGCACCAGATGAATACAGACAACAGCCGAAAAATGACACAGCTAATTTATATTCATGTAAAGTTCTGGTAAGAAGAAGGTCCCTTTACATTATGAGTAATTCTGCTAGATATAAATTTACGCATGAAATATTAAGGAACGAGGAATCAATGTTTAGAGGGCAAAAAGTTGAGAAAGGAAGAAGAATTTCAGTAATTTGTAGAGACGAGCCCTAATGAAACTTTAGTTGATAAAATTTAGAATAACAAATGATTTATAATTACTTTTACATGCTTAAATTACTATTTTTATGAACGAAGTAACTCAAAAACCTTTCGTATAGCTGCAAATTTGTCGCAGGCGAGTAATGAGAATAGCTGTTCTTCATAATTATCGTGAGGATTGATGAATTCTTCTTCAAATGCATTAAAATTGATACCTTTCTTCCTGTAGATGTAACGATGACTGTATGTTTCATAAAATTGAGATTTTTCTAGCAATTCAAACGACGGATAGAAAATGTCAAACTTTTCGTTATCATTTCTCTGCATTGCAAGACCAGACTTGACTAAATGATCATTTAGAATCTCTCCATCATCACGGCATGCAATTATTTCATGTAAATCTTGCTGTTATTAATTAAATAGCAAATTTAAGATCCAGGTAAGGAAATTAAGCCAAGCTACTAACCTCAATATGATGTCTAACAAATTTAAAACGGAACAGACGATTATAACAGAACTTGATGATAAAATTAGTTGCATCTATATCAAAAAGTTTGGCATTTTCAGGTGGTACGATTCCAGAAAGGCATGCTCTTATTGATTTTCTTGGAATCTTGTGAAAGTCATCAGCTAAGACTCGGCAATACTTTAAATTCAAGTATCCTTTAGTTCCAAAATCATCAGCAAATACTTCAAAACACATCTATATTAGATCCAGTTGCTACTTACAATGTCTTACTTACCACAAATATTTCCTTTTTGTGTTTTATCACTTAAAATAGTTACACGGTTCCATTTGCCACAAATATAAGCTGCAATTTTCATGCCAACTTTCAATTCATCTTCATTTATTTCCAGCCACTTGGATTCATGATTTACATTATAATATCCATCAATATCATCGCACAATTGAAGCAATTCTGGGTCTTCAACCTGTAACCATATTTTATTGGGGCTGAATATTTCAGAAAGCCAACCTCTATTTGGATATTCTGTGAATTAATTTGATACATTTATGTATTAATGGATGTTCCGAAATTAATTAAAGCATTATTTACCTTCTGTGATTTTAAAACTACTGAATAAATTTAATAATTCATTCATCTTCAAAATGTCCAGCAATGTACAACTTCCTGATCTGGAACAGTGAATGATTGTTGACATCGACTTTTGAACTTAACTGGGTGAGAACTTTTCAAAATAGTTTTCAAATTTTTGAAAATCGTTACATGATTTTACATTCAAATTTTTGAAAACTGTTTGGTTTCAAAAATAAAATTTACGTTAAAACTACATATTGTAACATATTGTAACAAATGGGGAGGGGGGGGAGTGAAAAAAGTCGTTTTTTTGCGTAACGTAATAAGTGAACGACCCCCCATCAATATCTTGATAATTTGATGAACCTCAATTGGAACTTGGAACGTGCTTATTGATTGACCAATTCCTTTTTATTCTCAAATTCACATCGTTTCATCCTTTTCTTTCTTATGTCATCAATTTGTTCTCTTCTTCTCACATTACTCGATACAGGAAAGCAGCTAGAAGATGGGTAACTAGGTTCGCTTTACAATGATCAACTAAGATTATAAATCACAACAGAACAGCAATAATTCGAGAACATCTAACAGTAATTAAGTTTTTTATTTGAAAAGTATCTTAATGCTTTGTACATAACATTTTTTTTGGAAAGCACTTTGTCACTACAGTCTCAAACCACCTTGCTGAATCAGCTGATAGTCATCTACAGTCATCCTCTTATACGAACCATCTCGTTGCATCAAATAAATTGCATCATTAATTTTAGTAATATCAAATCCATCTCGTTGTAAATCAACTTTGCGGAGCTTAAATGTACCAGTTATATCGAGATTTGTGCCTAAACGAATGAAAATTGGTCTCGCGTAAGCAGGTAGGCTCTCTTTGAGTTCATTAGCAAGATTATCGAGATCAACTTTATGATCAGCATCGGCAATTGTTGCCATACCAGCTTTGCCATCAGCACCGGGAATCTAAATAGTATTTTAGAATTAGATTTTAAAATTTAAATTGAAGGTTTTGGCGGGAGACTTACATTAACTCCATAAACAACACAGTCAGAAAGTTTAGCTGCACGAACAATAGCTCCTTCAACTTCTGTTGTTGACACATTCTCTCCTTTCCATCTAATCAAAGATTAAGGCATTCATTATATAAACTTGTATATTTTCTAGGATATTCACTATGGCTGTACCAAACTCAAATCTCACCTAAAAGTATCGCCAACTCTGTCTTTAAAGTAGAAGTACCCATAAACATCCATAACAAGAATATCACCGGAATTGAAAAACATGTCGCCGGTTTTAAAGACATCCTTAAAAATTTTCTTCTCAGAAGCTTTCTTGTCAGAATATCCACTAAATGATTGAACGGCATTATTGACTCTAATCTTTCCAATCAGAATACCTGGTTCGCCATAGCTGCATCGAATGCAGAATCCATTTGCATCCCTTAATGGCTCATAAGTGACTTCATCGTATTTTATGAGTTCTACAGCAAGTAACCATGCTAAGGCTTGTGGCGTAAATCCAATGGCACCAACTGTATTGTCAAAGTTCCCGAAGTTTGCATTTGATTCTGTTGCACCATAAATCTCGACAATTGTTGGAATTTTAAATCTTTCGACAAACTGTGTCCAAATCTCTGGGCGCAGACCATTTCCAATCATGAATTTAAGCTTATGGTCCGTATCACTTGGCTTCTTAGGTGTCATAAGTAGATATCTGCATAGTTCACCAATGTATTGTGCTGCCGTACAATTATATTTCTTACAGTCTGTCCAAAAGTTTGAGGCTGAAAACTTCTTTCTGAGTGCTACAGTGACTCCAAAAAGAACGGTATTTCCAGTTCCAACGATTCCACCAGCTATAGGTTATAGTTTTGTAATTTTTTAAGAATCTTTATAATGTCTTAGTCCTACATACCTGAATGATACAAAGGAAGCGATGTGTAAATACAATCTGACTCTCCATAACCGAGAATCTTGTTAGTCGTGCACACAAAGTACATGTATTTGATGTGTGTAATGTTGACAGCTTTTGGAAGGCCTGTTGTACCACTGGTGTAGATGTATATAAGCTTATCTTTGCATGATCCTTCAACTATTTCAAGTGTTTCTGCTGAAACTGTCTCTAATTTTTGATAAAGATTGACATACATGCTGTCTAATGGAACAATTCCATTCTCATCGTAGACATAAACTTTTAATTTGCTAATGTCTTCGTCTGTGTAGATTTCCTTGATGGCATCAGCTAATTCAGAACTGACAATGATTGCTTTTGATTGTGCAACACGAATGCAATGAATTAAAGCTTCCTTTCTTAAATTTGTGTTAATTAAAGCAGTAATAACACGGATTTTTGAAAGTCCCAGCCATGTTGGAATGAATTCGAGTCTGTTCTCCATCAAAAGTGAGATTGTGTCTCCTTTCTCAAAGCCCATATCTTGGAAGTATCGTCCTATTTTGTTGCTGAAGTCTTCAATCTGTGGGGAATAAAGAATTTATATGGAGGTGACACTGCTTCTTATAAGTTGGGCATCAAAAAAGGTGTTTCGAATTTTTGGCGCCATTTTTCATGCATACATAATGTATAACCCAATTTCCTTAAGTAAGTTAGAACTGAATATTTAAAGTCATTCCCCTATGAATAAATTTTAAAATCCACCTAAAAGATAATGACGAATTGAATTTAAATTTGAAACAATCAATCAGCTGCGGACATTGAGCATTGCCCTTGTTTTCGATTCCTATCCCGTTGTCTGTTATTATAAACATTATTATCTTTACAAGTTCGCCTAGCAACTTATGAAGGTCCAACAATATCATTATTAAAAGCACTCATAAGCTTGACTATAGGACTCAAGTGAGTAAACATAATCAAAAACTGTTAATAATGTACTTGTATTGAAACATGTAGAAGGAAGAAGCAAACTTCTAGATGACAAAACCACAGAAAAAAAGTAAAACACCCAGCGGGACTCGAACCCACGTTCTACAATTTCTGGTCGCATGCTCCTACCACTGACCTATCGAGGGATTAAACGACTTTATGGCGAAGTCCCATACATAAGTTACACTCTTTTTACTGTTCCCTAGCACCACATGATTTATCGTTGACTGGCTATTACATGGAATCGCATATTCCAACAACTTGCTCATACCTCTTGGAAAGTGATAGTCTTATCATCAATGAGAAAGGCATTTTTATTTTTGCGAGTAGCTGCTTGTTTACGAAATAGACTCGGTACCGACTCATTTGACATCTCCCATAATTTTAATGTTATTAACATCTTGCTGAAGCGCGTTGCTCCCCTGAAAATGAAGAAAATCCAAAGTTATTTACGAAATTAGAAGAATATTTGACTTAGAACTTGAGAATGAGAGATTTTGGCTATTTTAAGATTGACCCAAAAACGTGAATTCTAAAAATATTTTCAATGCATTTAAAGTAAGCAACAGATAAGAGGCATTTAATAAGTATGAGGAAGTAGCAAAGGTTGTTTTTAAGCACACGCTTGATTGTTTTTAATTTAGGTAAAATTTATTCATTATTGAAAATTGAATTTTTTTGAAGTCATTTATAGCATTGTTGTACAAATTAGCGATAATTAATGGTCTGGATAATATTCATTTATTATTTTTGTTTGAATTAACATAACTGAGGACTCAAGCAAACCTGAATCTGGGAATAAGAGTCTCTCCTTGCGATATTTTAAGAATAAGACATCTTAATTAAAATTTCTGTGGCAGAATTCATTAAGAACTCAGAAGCTGACACTCATTTCTTATGGATATGACATCTAGGAAGCCTAGTCATCATCTTAATTCCAGTTATCTCCATCTAAGCATTTATTAAGCAAAAAATCTCACAGATTAATAAATAATATATATAATGTGTGAAGGGCCCAGCCTTTCAGCTGGAGGCACTATGATTCAAATTAGAACAGAATCTATTGTACCACACCCTTTAGACCTACAGTTTATAGTGGGATCTCAACCACTTGCAAGCTCTGCACATTGCAAAGACACGAGTACGTCATAAGACCTGATGTACCCTGCAATGAACCTAGTCACAATTCGTGTGCGCAAGATGCCGTAAGAAGTCATCCAGATGCTAGTATATCCTTGTATACCTAGCAAAGGAGGCAGATTCTGTGCCAAAGACCTCAAAACTACACCCAGCACACGAACCGAGCTTCGTAACTAGAACGGTGAAATGGAAAAAGAGCTTCGAAAATTAGACATGGCCTGGGATTGAATCCAGGAAATTTGGCACAGAAGTGCCAACGCTCTACCTTTTAGGCCATTTCACCACCGATTAATAAATACCTTAATAATGAATTTTATCACACATTTTATCGTCGCCAATTCATTATTTAAATATCAACATTCATTCATTTATGTCTATTTACTGCTCTATATGCATCAATCATATAATTTTATAGTTTGACTCATCATCCAGAACACAACTTACGTGAAATCACGGCGACATTTCATTACAGATGCGTAAACAATTGTCGGACGTCGACCCGTGATAAGGTAAAGAATCAGTGCTGATAAAAGCACTTGAATCGGAAGATTCTTTCCTATCAGCGTCGATGCACATATTCCAAAAAGCGTAATTCCAAAGACCACAATGAATTTTTCAGCGGGTGTAAGTTTTGTTTTTAAATTAAGTTCAGTCATTGCTTGTTCTTTCTCCGTTGGATTCTCTCTTAAATCATTTCTTATCTGAAATTCAAAAAATAATAATAAAAGTATGTAGAGTAATGTGATAAGTTTAAGACAGTCTATAAGGGAGCAGATTATTTTGCTTTTGAATGGAGAATAAAAAAAATGAGGTCAAAATCACAGCATATAATAACGCATGACAAGTTCAAAATCTCTTTCAATGATAGTCAAATTAATGAGTTGTGGTACAAACTACATAATCTACGTAGACGCGACCGATGTTCAATGCGTTATCAGTTTGAGACAAATTAGGTGAAAGATTCTCTTGAATCATGTTTGATAAGGATTTATGGATGGTATTAGGCGTGAATGGATGATTTTGTTGGGATGAAAATGATGTGAGATGATAAAATGTAAGAAACACATGTTCACAGTGCTTAACTTACATCTCGGAGATCACATAGAATCAACTAATCTATAATGATAGTGAATTATAGATAAATTGCTTTGAGAAGTGATTCTAGGTCAGTTCAGATCAAGTCAAAGCAAACTATGTTTCTAGTTTAAATTTTAGGATGCAACGATACATTTAGCGATATACGAATGTGTCATAGAGCATAGTTTGTGTAGCACTGAACCAGATTCTTTCTAGATAGCAAACAAATGGATAATAAGGAATGATAAAAACTATTTATTGACTCACTTATGACGTCCAGGGGGGGGGGGGGGGGGGGGGGGGGTCAGCAAGAAAAGAACAAAAGAAATTCCAGGAAATCCATTGTTCTTTTTTTGAAAAATGACCGTTAATTTCAGACGTCATAAGTGAACGACCCCTTAACTATTGATTTATCAATTAGGTTTCAATTTTGTAAGCAAATCTCAAATCAAAGAAATCTTCCATTCAAATCTCAAATCTTCTTAATTCAAAATTCACTGAAAGTAATCTAAATATTCACGATTCCTTATCGATCATCAACAATTCTGTTTTCTTTAGACTTTACTCCGTTCACTTTCGATCTGATGCATGCTTTTAATTAAGTTATGCGATTTATCTGACTCAAACTAGATCTTTTAATCTGAGAAGATTGATAATCATAGAAAACGATGCAAACTTGATGAAAAACTTTCTCAAATTGCAATTGCAGGAAGGAATCGTTTAGTAGATTTTCGAGTTGACACTTGTAAGAAGATAGTTTAGTGATATTCAGGGATGTAGCTTGTCTAGGATTATGCTGAATGGGGGTCAAGACGTTAATGAATCAAAAGACAATTAGCTTCATTTGATTATATTCGTAGTTTCAGTTTTGATTAAACTTGATCGTGAATTATTTTAGAACTGTCATGAACTGACTAGGCTAGTAAGTTCAAGTTCTCGTGTATTATATTAAAATTGAACAGCTATTTATAAAATCAAATTAGTTTCAATTTTAATCAAATTTCAACCTCCATCTTTAAGAGTTTAAAAATGTAGTTCAAAACTTGAAAAAAACTTAAATTTTTTATCTACGTTCTAGTCAGAACATCTGTAAACACCTTGAAATAAATTTTTTGCCGACAATTCTAGTCGCATATGTCTGATAATGCAGTAATAAATTATTTTGCACTTTGAAACTATTCATTATAGCTTCTATGATCTTCTATTCAATTCCACTAGTCATTCATTTATTATTTATTTTTGAAAAGCGTGATTGCGAATAATTTTTATGTCACGCAACACGTGCTGCTGTTTGATTCTACCAAAAAAAAATAATTTTTAACAGGTTGCGCATTTTTAACACTTACTTTCTGCACCACTTCCTTACAAATTGTCTCTTTTTCTTTTAAAAATTGTAGTAAACACCGAAATGCGACTAAACTACTTGACTTATCGTGTCGTGACTGAGCAAGAATATTGAACGAAATGTAAATCAACACGAGTAAATGAAGTTTCATTGATAATTATAAAACATTCTCAAACGCCTTTCGTAGCTGATAAATGGAAATAGTGAGAGACTATTCTGGTATGTATGACAATTCTATTCTCTGAGAGAGGTACTGGAATTTAGTTTAAATTGATGATCATCGGAGATAGAGATTTTAAATAACTTTGGGTTGATTATAAATGTAACGAAGTTTTAAAAATTCAAATTATACCGGATTTTAAGAATTCAAAATTTAACTGACATTCAGAATTCAAATTTGAACAAACTTTTTGAAATTCAAAATGAGTTTTAACGGATTTTAAATGCTTTGATTTAAGCCCTCGTTTTAGCAGATTCAAAATTAAAATAGAACCTGCAATAACTTAAATATATTAAATTTCAATCAATTAATAGATAATGTATCGAAAATGATATTCAAATTAAGCACATTTCACATTAAATAACGTTACACAAATAATCAACTACTTGCAACTATATTTTTCATTATATGCGAATTTCAACATTCACAATCTTTCAGACACAACACATCACACGAGCCTAGAATTTTAAAACAAAAACGAATGATTACGTTTGAAACTAGCCAATTAAACTCGACACTTTATTTTACAGCAACTTTAAATCTTTAACTATAGCATCTATTTTCTCATCATAATCAGGTCCTAATCCTAAACATGTGACAGTGCCAAAACTAACTTGCGTACGACCAGCATCACTTATTAACGATGTTATAATATTTAAATCAGTAGCTTTTTGTTTTAAAAGCTCAAGTTCCTCTTCTGTGTTAACTTTTAGTACAATTTTCGGTTGACCAATATTGAGCCACTTTTTGGCTACAGATTCGTTGTTGACGATGGACTTTTGGAAGCAACTTACAGCGGCATGTGCTGCTTGTGATGCAATTTTACCTTTATTTAAGAAAGTAGATTACATAATTAGCATGAACTGAACATGATTAATGGATCATTTACCTTTGGTTAGTTTCAAATCAGCTCTAATAACTATTAAAATACAGAAACAAGATCCAGATTAGAAAACAATACTTAAATCAGTTAATAATTAATTAGTATACCTATTACCATCTTAAGTTTACTTATGAACAACATGATTATTTGTTACTATATTTCTGTCTCTGCTTTTCTGTATACTCTTTCATACACTCTTTAAACTCTTTAACTACTTCTTGACACTGTCTCCAATCTGAAGTCTCAGCAATGCACTCCTACAACAACATTCTACATGTAATTACCATATCACACAACATATGACCTTTAATGCTCACCTGAACTTTATAATGTAAATCCAGACAGCCGGTTTTCTTGAGCATTAAAGTAACTGGATCTTCGTCTTCGTCTATTTGGTTGGGTATTGTAGAACTCATCACTTGATTTTATTAATTATCAAGCTAGTATCGTTGTAATGACTTGAAGGAACTAATATTTACCTATTATGAAGAGATTAATGTCCTTTAAAGCATCTGTTTTATGCAAAAAGCAACAATATTAATTTTTTGTGAAATTAGAAAGAGACGGAACGAAAACAAATACTTTAATAGTATTAGTGCGGGGCTGGTAAAGGCTTGAGTATTGGGCATTTTCTGAAGCCAGTTTTAACTTAATTAACCTGATATTTTGACAGTAAGTTTATACTTAACAAAACTCCAGTCAGATTCACTTACAGCATGAACGGTGCCATAGAACTCGAGAACCTTAAAAATGTTTTTCGAAAGCTGTTGAGGTGTTTTGAAAATTTATTTGAATTTCTTCAAGCCGTTACTTTCAAAATTAGGTTTTAATACTTTTGACGACATTTCACTTTATAGACATTTATTAAGCCTCAAAATGATAGTTTTTTAAATGCAATGAAGGAGAATTTAAAGTTATTTGTATTCAAAATACAATTTTTATCTTTCAAAATAAACACAATGGAAATTCATTATTTATTTTCGACATTTTCTGTCAATAATCATGTTCATACTGGTTCATACATAGTTGTACATGCAAAAATTATCATATTTTCATCGGCATCAAAAGATGTCTAGAAGCAATTTTCCAAATCTGATATTGTCATCAAGTGTACGACATGATGATGGCTGTATTATGGAAAGCGTGTTGCTCGTGTGATTAATTTTAATTATTTTGAGAGATTATCTATCAGTAGAAAGAGTCTGAAGCTGTTGATAGTGAATATGTGCTTACGATATATGTGTGAAAGATAGTAAATCTGTGAGGGGATTAAAAGGTTGATGATTTGGTTTCATATAAGGTTGAATGATGAAGAATATAATCCTTGTGGTTGAGTTGTGGATAGTTCTGTTGATTATTCAGCAAGATTCAGAGCTGAATATATCAAAGTTTATGAGTTTTAACGTTCATGAAAGAAAAGTCTGAAATTAAAGTTTAACCGTAAAATAACACAAAAATTTAACTTCATTATTGTCATCTAAACAACAAAAGAACAGGACATCCCCAAATATCCATGTTTCAGACTATAATAGTGCCATCAACGTCAACAATTTCAGAACTTTTTACGCACAATAATCCCATTATGAAACGTTATGCATAATGCATGTCAAATTGAAGCTGATTCAGTAGACAAATGACGAAATGATGACCAGCAGAATGCGTTCGCATGTGTCTTTGTCTGCTTTTTGCATCAAAGTTTAATCTCATTCAATTTTGAGCTGCAAAATGACATGATTTTCACATTTTCAATCAATTTTCAAACTTCTGGTTTATGTCATGAAGAAAATTCATCAAATCACTGCGAAGCAATAAAAAAGATCTGAAATAAACATTGCGAAATGCTCAATTACCACTTACTACATCCTTTATTTGATTAAACTAGTGAGTTTGACTATTAGGAATGATGATTTGATTTGGTTCTGTGAATTCTGAAGTTGTTCATTCTTAACCTTAAAGTTTTGATTGATTGAATTATAAACAGGAAGTTGAGATTCATGAAAACCAATGAAATCTTAAAAAGACATCATTTTTAAATAACCCATGTCAAGCATTTAATGAAAATTCTATAATTAAATTCAATTTGTTTATAAAAAAATTATTTTCATTTTTCCACATTTTCCGCTTTATTGTGTTTTGAAAATAAACAACTATAGAAGACCGTTTACATCCCATCCACCGGATATTAGATCATGCATGTAAATATGTACATCATAGATGTTTACTTAAAGTTTCTATATCCATACAATTCTGTAGTTCACTATTTTCTTTCTTTATGTATTAAAAATGTTTAGAAAAAGTGGAAAAATCAAAAACATTTTCGGAAGTTTACAACATTTAATAGCTTACATCTAATGAGGTTATTAGATTCAATGTTTACGTTCCTTCCAATATATCAATAACTATTGTTTACTACAGAATTAATTACTCCAATAAGCTTGAGATTAAAGCTTTAATTTACATGAACATTCATTACACAACTCTAGCCTAATTAAGGGATTATGGAGAATATTTTGAGTTGTTGCATCTGAGACAAAGATATTGATAAATTTGGTAATGGATGTTATAGAATTGCAATGATTTTCCAAGGTTTCTGAATTGTAATCTTAAAAGTTTTTTTTAAATTATCTAAAACTTACTCAATTTCAAATATTCTGCCCAATTAGCAAACAAACTTAAATACAATTCCATATTCTTCAAATCCCATGATATTACGAACTTTATAATGCAATCATTTTAATGATCATTAAAGCATATAAAAGTTCATTTAAAATTTCCACACATGTACTAATTTGCTTTTGTGGTACAACAAAGTTTCCAGCTTCCATACAAGAACCCTCAAACTATTTCGGAATTCAAAACAAGCATGTATCGTTGGGAAAAAAAGGAAGTTTGTAACAAAACTAACAATTTTTTTTTTTTTTTCATATTTCAAAAAAATGATGAGCATTGTCATCCTTTATTGAAGAGACTAAAGTATTTAATCCTAGAAATTTTTTCTTTATCCTTTTTTTTTTTCTTAATTTATTCCTCTTTTTTTTTAATTTAAATAATTTCCGAAAGTTTTGCCTCTTATTATCATTTTTGATCCTTTGTTGTTTGGATTTTTATTGTTATAGATACATAAAGGACTCTGTCTTGTGTCTATGATATGGATGGGTGACTGTGAGGAAATGAAAGTTTTATGAAAGGACACTTTGTGGTTTAAGGATTTGAAGTTTTTTTGTGGATGGTTATTAATAGAATCGTGGTGGATTCAATCTTTTTCAGACCACAGCAACAAGTTAACATCCTCAGCTTAAATGTCATATATCATTTTAAAGCAGCAGTCTTCATTATATAAGCAAACATATCCTGAATGTGTGAAACTGATAAAATCTTAAATGCGACACTGAATTAATTAGAAAATTACTTTGTGATCACTTTTAAGGAAGTACAGTGTTAAAATATTCAATCTCAAAAAGTTTTATGAGTAAAAGAACTTTATTACTTCTTAAGAAGACAAAATTGTAGATTAGTGACTATAAAAATCTATTGAAAGCACCAAAAAACTACAAAGTATCTAGCACGACACAAGAACATGCACTCAAAGTTTTTAATATTCTGACAAATTCTTCAACAAATAAAATAAGGAAAAAAACTTCATCACTTAACAAACTTGCTCATCATCGTTGCTGTTGTAAAATCAGAATTGTTGTTGAGGAATGTAAATAAAGTAAATAAATGCAACTTCCATGCTTTTTTAAATTTAAGGGGTATTAAACTACGCGTAACAATTTGAATTTTGGAGGAAAATTTATAATTTCAATAAAAATTTTTAATCAAGCTAATAAACCAATTATGTAGAGCAACAATCTGATCATTCAAGCTCTATAGCTTTAACAAATGACCAACTCTGACAAAAGCTTATTCAAAATTCTCTGTATGCTGTTCTAGATAATATATTATAACTTAACATTTAATAAAAATTTATCTTCATATTTTATGAACTCTTAATTAAAATAAAGCAGAAGTGAATTAATGAATTATCATAGAACAGAAAAAGTTTGATGAATTCCGACATGTAAAAAAGTTCCGTTTATCTTATTCCTATTGATTCCATTGTATTCCAACTTATCAGAAATAAAAGTTTCTTGTACAGATACAAATATGATTTATTCTCATTCGAATTTAGGTCAAACGTGTTCCTTTCTTATTTTGCGGTTTTTAGACACACAGGAATTCTTCCAAGATGTTTACAGTATAAAGTAGCTCAATGTTTATGTGTAAATAGAATCGAGAAATAAAATCCGAGTAAGTGACAAATCTTAAAGCACTTATTCAATTAGATTTATTGTTTCAAATACAAGTAAAAGATTACAATCGAATAGTCGGCATTAGCAATTGTTTTTCGCTTAACTTCTTTTTTATTTGAGAGTTTCTATGTAGACTTTAAGTGGATTCAATTAGTTTTAGATAGGAAGTCTGAATTAATTTTTATTTTCTTGGAAATTGAAACATTAGACGAAGTTTATTATGAATTTTGTGATATGTAACAATCAGATTGTGATGCAAAATAGAGCATGTCTCAGGTTCGTTTAAATTGTTACAAATTCAATTTGTAAATCTTGAATTTAAATCCTTGCCAATTTACTTGAACACTAAAGAATTCCAACATTGATTTGAAGCTTCAAACTTTCTGTAACAAATCAAATTTGAACAAACTTTTCCAGCTTCAATTTGCAGAACTTCTAGTTTTAATTGATTACAATTTACATTTCGAATCCTTTAATCCGATTAGATTATTCTTCAGTTTTGCATCCTTTTTTCCACGAAAAAGTTTATTTAATTTTCTTGAATCAATCTCAATCTAAATTGAAAGGAATTAAATAAACCCCAAAATATGTTTCCTACTGTAAAGAAGGCATCAAGAATGACCAAATGTCTCTAGACCATTAAATAATGTAAAGGAACGAGTGACAATGAATGTAAATAACAAAATTTTCATTTCTCAATATGAAAGTTTATTTATTCTGGTCGAGAAGAAAACAAATTTTAAGTTTATAAACAATTTTTTTGTACTGTCTGATGTGCTTACTCATCATGTCATGGAACGATATGTATATAGTAGAAATTTTTTTAAATAAAATAAAAAATTGGGCCGAATATGAATTTCTGAATTGAATATTCCAAATGCGTATTTACAATGACTGTAAAACTGTTTGATTTGAAGCCTATACAATATGCTGGAACAGCAAATTTTCGTAAATAAGAAGAAATGTTTAAGCAGTTTGGAAGATTACGGCATAAATTTTTATGATGTTCAATTCTCTTGACAGAGCTTTTGTGTTTTCGATCGGAAATATTCAATGAGTTTTGGTGGTGAATGGAATTTTTTTATCAACTTGTTGGTATTGTTGGATCTTCCATTCTGTTTTGACACTTTTGATTAGTTTCAAAATTTTAAAATTAAACTGAATTGTAAAGTTGCTTACTCTTAAATTGCTTCAAAGTGTCTAAAAGCCAATCAAAAACTTTAAACTTATAAAGCAAACAGCTTCTTTCTTTATCGATAAACAACGAATCAACTTCCGAGATTTAAGTGCAAAAATTCATCTTTATTTCTTATTATTCGACCTCCTTTTTCCAATATTCATCGAAAAGACACAAAAGTAAAAGAAAAGAACTTTTCAAATATGTCAGAGTATTGTCGGAACTCCCTCATCTATAATAAAATTGAGGACAAGTCAAAATAATAAACAAGTATATCGTACAATATAAATTTTCGACAGACAAATTCCAGTGAACGAAGAAGAAAACTTTTTCAATTTTTCCTTTTCTTTTATTTGTAATTCGCTTATTTTTTCTCGTTTTTATAATAATATACAAAGTTTTGAATGGAAGAGACATGCTATAGTGATAATCCATGGATCAACACTTTTCATATTCATATTGATAAGAACGTACATATTGAGATTAAGTTGTGGTGGGTGATTAGGGATTGGCAAAGACGCATTTCGAGATGCTCTGGGTTTCTTTGACATGGCAAAGCTGATAAAAATCAGCTTGAAGCTATTTAAGTCATTAAAACATGTACGATATCTAGTATTGGAACTTATCTCTTTATATTGAACTGCAAAACCCGAGTAGCACAAGACAGATAATCTCAAGTCGTCACCGTATCGTCTTAGCATAGGATTTCGTCTTGATTATCCAACTTGTTCTATTCAGCAAATATATCTAAAGAATACCCAACCGTAACCTATTATCTATTAGTTGACGCAAGAGATATAAAACCAAAAAGGACAAACTGTTCCTTAAAAATAACACTACATTAAGTTCCACACAGCTAAAAGCACATGCTCAACACAACAAACTTTTTATTTTATTTTATCTCTCAACGGGTAATAATATTCACAAGCGAGCGTAATAATTTTTATGGACCACCATATCTCCACATATTTCACTTAAATTTTTTACACCAGACAGGCACATAGTCAAGTCAAATTCACGTTTAAGAATCTTTATGACATTCTCAACGCCACTCTGTCCCTCACATGCTAATCCATAAATAACGGGTCGTCCGATAAAGCACATTTTAGCACCCAAGGCAAGAGCTATAAACATATCCGTTCCTTGACGTAAACCGCCATCGAAAAATATTGGAATCTCGTCGTTTACTTCTTTTGAGATTTCAGCAAGTGCCTCGATTGATGATGGAACGTTATCAAGCTGACGAGCACCGTGATTTGATACCATAATGCCTCCAACTCCAATATTACAAGCATGTCGAGCATCCTCCTTTGTTAAGATGCCCTTCAGTATAACTGGCAGTTTTGTTATGCTGAAAATGATTAAAAGATTTTATCTGATGGAGAATTATTGAAGATTCTGTGTAGGGTGGATAAAGATCAACATTAAAATGCATAACGAGTCATTAATTTTGAAGAATCCATAAAAGTTCAAAAGAATACTTTAAGAATAAATCTTTAAACATAATATTTACTGAGTTTATGTGTCAGTAAATAAACAACTTGAAACATAAGTAAGCACCCAACTCGTTCCAAGGAAAAAGAAATTAGAAAACAAACAAACAAACAAGCACAAAAAAAATATCGTGTAAAAGCAAATAAACAATTCATGCATTACCTCATGAGCCATTTTACATCATCCCAAACGATGCCTTGATCGAATTGCTTGGCCACATATTCATTGATTCCTGAACCTATAAATTCATACCAGAATTCCATCAATAAATTGAAGAGAAGCAATTTGTAGGATTGGTCGCATAATTCTTACCGCCCATGCTCGAGACTTGATGATGGAAATTTGCCAGAGTTAAGTGCTGTGGCATGGAAAATTTATTCCTCAAATCCGCCCGTCTAAGGCCAAAGAGTGGAGCGTCGACTGTTAATACAAGAGCTTTAAAGTCTGCCAATTCCGCTCGTCTAACAAGACTCTCTGTAAGCTTTCGATCTTTGTAAATGTATAACTGAAACCATTTTATTGCCTTCGGTGCGGCAGCTGCCACATCTTCGATACTCGTTGTTGCTATTGTACTTAGAATGAAGACAGTATTCTCATTTTGTGCAGCTGTGACGAATGAAAAAGAATTATTGAATTTTTTTCTTGTATGAATCGAAAATTTTGTTTAAAGTTTCAAGTGTGTTGCTGGATTTCAAGGACTTTTTATGCTCTAAGTTCCTTGGAACTTTTGATGACGAAGGAGAGCATTAGCTAAAGTGGTTATTTTAGAGAATTTTTTAAATCAATATTTAATTAAAACTTTAAATTAACATGAAAAACTTCTAATGTTCAGAAGGTAGACTCGATTTGACTAGCTTTAAGTTGATTTTATTCAAATGTGTTTCCATAAATCAAAAAACAGCTATTTGAAAATTCAAAATTTCTTCAAAATTCCAAAAAATCTGTTAATTGAGTACACGTAAAGTCGTCAAAAAACAGCGTCCTTACCTCTAACAGATGCTACTTCACCATCTGGATGAGCCATTCGTTGCATCGCGGTCGGACTAATGCCACAAGGAAAAGATGGATTAGAACCAAAAACATTTAATCTCATGTCACGTTCAGTAACATCCTTTAAAAAGCGAGGACGTATACGAAAGTTATTAAAGTCCTCACGATTCCATGAAAGTGAATTCTCGTTTCCTGCACCACTGCGATAGTAATCACGAATACTTTCCGGTAGAATTTCTAATGCTCGTCTTTCGTACAAATCGAGGGAATTCATAATGTTGATGTTATGTCTCTCGAATAATTTGTGCAGCACTTGTTGATGATTTGAAGTGTTTTAATAAACTGAGAATGAGATTCGTGTGCTTCTTATCATGTTTATATTATTGAGTTTTTAAATATATAAATTTTAATGAATCTTTTAACTGAGTAGATTTGATAAGATTTGTTTAGCATTTCTATTTTTAAGTTTTTCTCCTTAAAAATCTCGTTGTTGATACTTCTCAAATCTTTGGAGATATTGCCTTACGTAAGGTGTATGAAGAGAGTAATTTTAATGTTTGAGAAACTCTCATATGAGCATGTCGTCACATGAGATTAAAAGTAATTTTAAATGATAAAGAAATTTATGATGAGAATGTTTATAGTCATAAATGTTGATGTTTTAATCTTTTTCAGGGTAAAATGAGAAGACAAAATTAAAGTAGAAGGTCATGGGATGATTTTTGCTCATTGTTGGAGATTCTTAAGTAGATCAACATCAATAAATTGCTAATCATACTGTTTAAAATAGATTAGAAGCTAAAATAGAATTACTGAGAAGCTTTCTAGTAGCTTCAAAGAGATTAACGAACCTGAAATGAGGATTTTGTTTTAACTCAATACGATACGAATATAATTAGAATTGTACTCAATAATCCTCAAGTTAAACTTCCTTAATAATAAAATTCCAACTCTAATTACAAATTGAAAATGATTTCACAAAAACTGCACATAAAAGAACCGTACCTCACTTCTCAGCTTTATTAGAATTTTGAGCATAATACTCACTTTGATGAGTGTGAATTCATCAAGTTTAATTTAAATTGGACATCCTTGTTTATGACACACACATCAAACTGAACGATGCCATTCTGATTTGATTGAAGTTTGATGAAAATGAAAATCATAAATGCATGCAAACGCTTCATATGAACATACATTTCTAGGGTTGAGTATTTAAAATTATGGACGTTAGGACTTAAAAAGACTGCAATGATATTTTCATTATTTTTTTTTTCGTTCCTAAACTCTTTTATTAAAATAGGGCTTGAATGATAAAGCTACAAAAAGAGCTACGAAAAATTCACATTTCAAGAATTGAAGATGAAAAATTCACATTTCAAGAATTGAATACGAAAACTTCACATTTCAAGATTTGAATACGAAAAATTCACATTTCAAGAATTGAAGAGGAAAAATTCACATTTCAAGAATTGATCACGAAAAATTCACATTTCAAGAATTGAATACGAAAAATTCACATTTCAAGAATTAAAGAAGAAAAATTCACATTTCAAGAATTGAAGAGGAAAAGTTCACATTCCAAAAGTTCAACAGGAAAAATTCACATTTCAAGAATTGAACATGAAAAATTCACATTTCAAGAATTGAAGAGGAAAAATTCACATTTCAAGAATTCAACAGGAAAAATTCACATTTCAAGAATTGATCACGAAAAATTCACATTTCAAGAATTGAATACGAAAAATTCACATTTCAAGAATTAAAGAAGAAAAATTCACATTTCAAGAATTGAATACGAAAAATTCACATTTCAAGAATTGATCACGAAAAATTCACATTTCAAGAATTGAATACGAAAAATTCACATTTCAAGAATTAAAGAAGAAAAATTCACATTTCAAGAATTGAATACGAAAAATTCACATTTCAAGAATTGATCACGAAAAATTCACATTTCAAGAATTGAATACGAAAAATTCACATTTCAAGAATTAAAGAAGAAAAATTCACATTTCAAGAATTGAAGAGGAAAAGTTCACATTCCAAAAGTTCAACAGGAAAAATTCACATTTCAAGAATTGAACATGAAAAATTCACATTTCAAGAATTGAAGAGGAAAAATTCACATTTCAAGAATTCAACAGGAAAAATTCACATTTCAAGAATTGATCACGAAAAATTCACATTTCAAGAATTGAATACGAAAAATTCACATTTCAAGAATTAAAGAAGAAAAATTCACATTTCAAGAATTGAATACGAAAAATTCACATTTCAAGAATTGATCACGAAAAATTCACATTTCAAGAATTGAATACGAAAAATTCACATTTCAAGAATTAAAGAAGAAAAATTCACATTTCAAGAATTGAATACGAAAAATTCACATTTCAAGAGTTGATCACGAAAAATTCACATTTCAAGAATTGAATACGAAAAATTCACATTTCAAGAATTAAAGAAGAAAAATTCACATTTCAAGAATTGAATACGAAAAATTCACATTTCAAGAATTGATCACGAAAAATTCACATTTCAAGAATTGAATACGAAAAATTCACATTTCAAGAATTAAAGAAGAAAAATTCACATTTCAAGAATTGAATACGAAAAATTCACATTTCAAGAATTGATCACGAAAAATTCACATTTCAAGAATTGAATACGAAAAATTCACATTTCAAGAATTAAAGAAGAAAAATTCACATTTCAAGAATTGAAGAGGAAAAATTCATATTCCAAGAGTTCAACAGGAAAAATTCACATTTCAAGAATTCAACATGAAAAATTCACATTTCAAGAATTGAAGATGAAAAATTCACATTTCAAGAATTGAATACGAAAACTTCACATTTCAAGAATTGATCACGAAAAATTCACATTTCAAGAATTGAATACGAAAAAATTCACATTTCAAGAATTAAAGAAGAAAAATTCACATTTCAAGAATTAAAGAAGAAAAATTCACATTTCAAGAATTGAAGAGGAAAAGTTCACATTTTAAGAATTGATCACGAAAAATTCACATTTCAAGAATTGAATACGAAAAATTCACATTTCAAGATTTGAAGAAGAAAAATTCACATTTCAAGAATTGAACATGAAAAATTCACATTTCAAGAATTGAACATGAAAAATTCACATTTCAAGAATTCAACAGGAAAAATTCACATTTCAAGAATTGAAGATGAAAAATTCACATTTCAAGAATTGAACAGGAAAAATTCACATTTCAAGAATTGAAAAGGGGCCATTCACTTATTACGTAACGCTTTTAGGGGGAGGGGGGGTCTAAGATTTTGTTACGGTTCAAACAAGGAAATTTTTTTTTCATACAAATTTTGTTACGAGGGGGGGGGGGGTCTAAGAAGTCATTTTTTCGCGTTACGTAATAAGTGAACAGCCCCAAAGGAAAAATTCACATTTCAAGAATTCAACAGGAAAAATTCACATTTCAAGAATTGAAGATGAAAAATTCACATTTCAAGAATTGATCACGAAAAATTCACATTTCAAGAATTGAACAGGAAAAATTCACATTTCAAGAATTGAATACGAAAAATTCACATTTCAAGAATTGATCACGAAAAATACGCATTTCAAGAATTGAAGAGGAAAAATTCACATTTTAAGAACTAAATATGGAAAATTCACATTTCAAGAATTGATCACGAAAAATACACATTTCAAGAATTGAAGAGGAAAAGTTCACATTCCAAGAGTTCAACAGGAAAAATTCACATTTCAAGAATTCAACAGGAAAAATTCACATTTCAAGAATTGAAGAGGAAAAATTCACATTTCAAGAATTCAACAGGAAAAATTCACATTTCAAGAATTGAAGAGGAAAAATTCACATTTCAAGAATTCAACAGGAAAAATTCACATTTCAAGAATTCAACAGGAAAAATTCACATTTCAAGAATTGAAGATGAAAAATTCACATTTCAAGAATTGAACAGGAAAAATTCACATTTCAAGAATTAAAGAAGAAAAATTCACATTTCAAGAATTGAAGAGGAAAAATTCACATTCCAAGAATTGAAAACAAAAATTCACATTTCAAGAATTGAACACAAAAATTTCACATTTCAAGAATTGAATACGAAAAATTCACATTTCAAGAATTGATCACGAAAAATTCACATTTCAAGAATTGAAGAGGAAAAATTCACATTTCAAGAATTGAAGACGAAAAATTCACATTTCAAAATTGAAGAGGAAAAATTCACATTTCAAGAATTAAATATGGAAAATTCACATTTGAAGAATTGAAGACGAAAAATTCACATTTCAAGAATTGAAGACGAAAAATTCACATTTCAAGAATTGAAAAACGAGTTATAATAATTGAAACTCAAACATTTTGAATTCCGAAAATATCCAATCCAATTCACAACTTCTGTTTGTCGGCCTCTTTTCTATCGAAATAGAAAAGATCACAGGACTCACCTCGCGAAGGTCAACAGAACGAGTCCCTGGTTAATGATCAATTTTTGGTCGAATTCCTCAGTGATACGCTCCTTCTTAAATCAAACAACTTTCGTTAGACGACTTAGTTGCAACTTACAGGATAGCCAAGTTTTACCAACTTTGACAAAAACTGTAAATTAAACACATCACCGGGTTACATTAAATGCCGTGATGCATCTATCATTAAGGGTGTGCGACCCATCTGGAAGCGCCTCTATAAAGATCAATGCCGCCTTGAGTCAACGAATTTCAGTACCACTGGCCTTTACGTCCCCTCCAAACCAACAAGAACAAGCTGTAACACCGTAAGGCATGGCTTGGAGTCATGAATAGAGAGCTCACGTTCAGGATTTATTGGGTAAAGATCTTGTTATGGCTCTCAGCAGCCCGGAAGTATTTGTTGTGAAAGAATTGGAATTCACGAAATACAAAGTAAAGTAAATGCTGAAAAAGAAAGGAATTAATAAACCGCATAATACGGACGGACGGATTGACAGTGATGTTTTTTTTTGGACAGCCCACCCTCAACCCCCTCTTGTAATTCCTAAAAAGTTCAAAGCCCTTTTTATAGAGGATTAGCCTCGTTCGATAAAAATTATATAAAAAACTCGAACGCGCCATTGAAATTCATTTATGTCCATATTATCAAAAAGAAAAATCCCCTTACGTTAACCAATTACCCTTCACCCAATCACCCCTACCACTAGCACGGACGGACAGATTAACAGTGATGTTTTTTTTTGGACAGCCCACCCTCAACCCCCTCTTGTAATTCCTAAAAAGTTCAAAGCCCTTTTTATAGAGGATTAGCCTCGTTCGATAAAAATTATATAAAAAACTCGAACGCGCCATTGAAATTCATTTATGTCCATATTATTAAAAAGAAAAATCCCCTTACGTTAACCAATCACCCCTCACCCAATCACCCCTAACCCCTTACCCAAACCCTTCCCTTGGCGTCAATGGGGCGCAACTCCCATATAGATTTGATTATGCTCTTCTCGCCTACCCAACCCCTACCCCCTCAAATCCCAATTTCAACCTATACCCCTCACCCAATCACCCAAACCCTTCTCTTGGCGTCAATGGGGCGCAACTCCCATATAGATTTGATTATGCTCTTCTCGCCTACCCAACCCCTACCCAACCCCTACCCCATCACACCCCAATTCAAACCTCTACCCCTAACTCCTTACCCAAACCCTTCCCTTGGCGTCAATGGGGCGCAACTCCCATATAGATTTGATTATGCTCTTCTCGCCTACCCAACCCCTACCCAACCCCTACCCCATCACACCCCAATTCAAACCTCTACCCCTAACTCCTTACCCAAACCCTTCCCTTGGCGTCAATGGGGCGCAACTCCCATATAGATTTGATTATGCTCTTCTCGCCTACCCGACCCCTACCCCCTCAAGTCCCAATTTCAACCTATACCCTTCACTCAATCACCCAAACCCTTCCTTTGGCGTCAATGGGGCGCAACTCCCATATAGATTTGATTATGCTCTTCTCGCCTACCCAACCTCTACCCCCTCACACCCCTATTTCAACCTATACCCCTCACCCAATCACTCACAAGACTAACCTCCATCCCTTACTTTAAAAAAGATCGACCTTCTTCCCATTAATAAAGTTAATAATTTGCACACGTGATCTTCCTACGAACCCAAGAAAACATTTTTTTCACCGACCTTATAAATCCAGGAGATTTGAGTGGAAGAGTTGGACATACACGTCTGCTGCTATTAATACTGCTTA